TGTCTTCCCTCTTTGAGCCTGCTGACTGTGCTTTTTGTAAAATGCTCAGCCTGCTTGAATTACATTGGTATTCAAGAATATTCATCAGGTTGCATCATCTCAAAGAAATGGGTAAAAAGAAGCTTTTTTCCCCCTAAGAAGAAAGAAATTCGTAGGATTGTTCAAGGAATCACAAAAGTAACAATGACTCATCATCTGCTGCTTATTGCTTTCAGGTGCCCTGGAAAATGTTAATGCAGGTTGTGTGCCCTCTGGAGTATACCAACACTTTCATCCCAGTTGGCAAGGCCTTGACATCTTTGCTTCTAAAGTCAAGAATTGCAGGCAGATCTCCTTACCTGGGGGAATTACACAGAAGGCGTTAGTATCGAAAGAGCTGCATTCAATTGATTGCCTGACTATTTACTATATGAATGGAACTTTCTGCTGGAGAAGGTTACAGGGCTGATGATAGGAAGACACATAAATGTCTAGCAAGGGGCAACACAAAACCTGTGGGTTCTTCTCAAACAGACACAGAATTCAGCTCACGTAACTACCTACACTCATACATACTCATAAGCGTACATAGATTCAAGCAGCCAATGAATGTGCTGAGTTTGTGGATAGCAAGTAGATTGTCATCCATTGACCAAAACTCTTTGTCAACATTCTAGCTTTGAACACTATAACACTATAAATAAAGGGCCTTACAAGAAGGAAAGGACATATGGGTGAAAGCACAGGCACATGAAGGACATTTTCCAGGATGCCATAGATAAATATAGGTTTCCCTTGCTTTATGTGGTAGATGTGTTCCTGAAAAACTGCATAACTCAAATTCACACAAGGTAACAAATAGGGATACGTTCCAAGACCTCAACTGCATTGGCAGCAGGTAAGTCTGCTGGGGCTGGGGCAGCGCTGGGTTCTTCCCAGCGTGATCCTGAAGAGAGGAGCTAGAAAAGAGTTAAAGCATCACACTAGCATTGGTAGTCTACTTTAGCTTCTGATTATTTTAGATGCTGCCATGCATTTACCAGATATTATCATTCTTCTCATTCCACCACCACCCGCCTCAAGCACAGTGCAGCCCAACACCCCCGCCAGGAAGAGCCCAGCCCCAGGGGCTGGGCTGAGTGGTGCCTCAATCTGATACCCCACTGGTGGTTAGGAAGGGAGTGCGGCTGGGCTGGGGCTGAGGCTGGAGCAGAGGGAGTGGGGCTAGGCTGGGGCTGGGGCAGAGGCAGAGGCAGGCACTGCACCGCAGGGTGGGGTGTGGGGCAGGAGGTGCAGCTCCTGCTGCTACAGGCTGCCACTGTAGGTTGGGGCCGAGGGCCATGCCGAGCTCTTCCAGCCAGGGTGTTTGGGCTATGCTGCATTCAGGGTGGGAGATGGCAGTGCTGGGAGGGTTGTTGGGAGGGCTATGGCAAATTTTGAGGTAGCTGCAGCCCACCCCCATAGGCCCCCTCCCAGAGCTACCACCACCTGCCCCAAACCCAGTGTGGCCCAACCCCCTCACTGGGAAGAGCCCCCTGTCCTGTGCCCTGCCCATGCTGTGCAGTGTTTGCCTGTGCTCCAGTCCCACTCCCTCTCTCACCACTGGTTGGGGTGGGGGGGAGGGGGACAAATCGAGGCCCCACTCACCCCAGCCCCTGCTCCTGCCTGTGTCCCGCTCCCTCCCTCACCACTGGGGCCTCCATCTGCCCCCACCCCACGCCCATGGCTCTTTCCCCACCCTGCACAGACTTACCTTTTGCTGATCGCATAAGAGTTAATTTACCTTGCATATAACGAATTTGGAGTATAAAAAGGGTCATTGCATAAGAGCAAATTCACATATACAGAACCCACATAAAGTGAAGGAAATCTGTATATCAATTCCATCTTGAGTTATTTGGGGGGATAACACACTTTTTTTCATTTGTGGTCTCCTACAGTTCATCTTTCTATCATGGATGAGATTGAATTAGTTTGGATTAAGACCCCTGAAGTAGCTAGTGAAATGCAAAGCAAAGTTCATTCCCAAGAAGGCATATGAATGCTCTGGGGGTGCTGTTACTTTGTTCAGTAGTGGTTAGGAGGTTCCTGAATCTACGTATTTGTTTTCTCTTTTGAAATCATGATTGTAAAAGTTTTCTAATTTTATTTCTCTTAAAATGGTAGGGAGGGGATGGAAGGAGGAACAGGGGAAGTGGTGGCTCTTTCTTATGCAATAATTTGCCTTCCATTCAGATACTGCTCTATTTTGCACCAGAAATGCACTCTCTTTCAATGTGGTTCTCTTTCTTCTTTTGGCAGCGCCTGAGCTCCCAACACCTCAGGCACTCTTGCTACGCCTTTTAGTAAGTGATTGGACCTGTGATTCACTTCTTTGGTGTAGAATACTTGCACCTAATTGAATACTATATCATAAGACATTTAAAATTTGTTATCTGTGAAATCATAGTGTGCTGTGCTTAGGCCAACTGAGGTTTTCTTATATCATACTTGATGGTCTTATCTCTCAAACCTGCCATTCAGATTTTTGCATGCTCTTGTGGGACTGTTCAGATATATAGCCATTTCAGACAAAGCTGATCTCCAGTAGTGAATCTGAAAAGGAGTGTCCAGGGCAGTGGTCTGAAGCACTGCCTTTGGGAGAGGGGTGTAAAAATAGCTGGTATCGCAGCATGGTAGCCTCCCTGCCCCATGCACTCCCACTGCCCAAGGTACAAAGCTGTCATGTTACATCTGGTCTCCCATGAAGTCCTCATGAAAAAATTGGGAAAATGAGGCCTTGACTACTTTACCATCCAGTGGCTAGGTTACTGGATCTGTGGTAGGACCCAGAGAGTATTGATTGACGGAAATGAGTCATCATGGCAGAGGGTGATCAGTGGTGTCCCTCAGGGTACAGTACTCAGACAAGTGCTTTTCAACATGTCCATCAACGATTTGGATTCAGGTATTAAAAGTGAGCTAGCAAAGTTCGTGGATGACACCAAACTATAGGGGAGTGTGGTCACACTTGGAAACAGGCTGGCAATACAGGCTGACCTTTCATAGATTCTTAGATGTTAGGGTTGAAAGGGACCTCAGTAGACCATTGAGTCCGACCCCCTGTCCTGGGTAGGCTCGCGAGGTGGGTGGACCTCAATCTGATGTCATTTAATACGGAGAAATGTAAAGTGCTGCATCTGGGGAGATGTAATCCACAACACATGTACAGGCTCAGCAGTGCTATGCTTGCTAGAACCACATCTGAATGAGACCTGGGTGTCGTGATAAAGAACGTGAATAAAATGAACATGAGCCAACAATGCGATGCCATACTGGCAGAGATAATCAAACACTGTCATGCATCTACCGAGGCATCTCAAGCAAGGCTAAGAATGTCATCCTCCCTCTCTACTCGGCCTTGATGAGACCACAGCTGGATTTCCGTGTCTAGTTCTGGGTGCTGCACTTCAGGAAGGAGGTGAAGAAGCTCGAGAGAGTCCAAAGGACAGCCACGCACATGATTAGAGGCCTAGAGAGCAGGTTATATGAGGAGAGGCTGAAAGACTTGGTACTGTTCAGCCAGGAGAAGAGAAGATTCAGCGGAAACTTGGTGGCAGCCTATAAGTATATCAAGGGTGTATATCAGGGCCTGGGGGAGCATCTGTTCACCAAGGCTCCCCCAGGGGAGGACAAGAAATAATAGGCACAAGCTGACTGAGGATTGCTTCAAGCTAGACAAAAGGAAAATTTTCTTTATGAGTTGAATACTGAGGGTTTGGAACAGGCTCCCCCCAGAGGTGGTACAGTCACACATCCTGATCATCTTCAAACAGCATCTTAACACCTATCTTGCTGGGATCATCTGATCCCAGAAGTCTTTCCTGCCCAAGTGCAGGGGGACTGGACCCGATGATACGTAAGGTCCCTTCCAGCCCCTCTGCTGGTCCCCATCCATACACAAGTGATATTTTAAGAGACAATGTGTAGCATTAGAACTGAATCTCCTAACTTTCCTTTCATTATTAGTGCCTTAAATTTAAGTCTGTCTCTTCATTTACCAGGTAATTTCATTGTATCCCTACAAGGGTGGGGATTCTGGGATTATTGCCCTCCAACTGCTTCATGCCCTCCACCCTATCAACTCTCTTCACCCTGTGATGCACTCAGTTTTGGGGCAGCTGTGGACAGAGCACATTCCTGAGCTCATCAAATATCTGGAAGGTAGGGAAGCAGAACATCAAACAGCGAGTGTGAGTGATCAGTCCTTCCCACTTACGAATGGCAAACAGTTCAGTTGCATCACCCCACAGAAGTGATAGGAATATGTGTTGGGAAACATTTTGTAGACCTATATGATCTTGCTCCTGCAGAAGTCATTTGAAGTTTTTATTTTCAATGGGGAAAGAATCATACTCATGGTCTTCTCTTAATGTGTCTAGCTGAGTATTGGGGGTTGATGTCTCACATTAGTGAATAAATACACAAAGTGTGTCTTTTTCTTGCATACCCAGCTTGATGTGGTTTAATTGCAAACATGCTTTTCTTTCTCTCTTTTGGGAGGGGAGGAAAGGAAGGGGGGAGAAGGAGGGAGAGAAAGGAGGGGGGAAGAGAGAGGGAGAGAAAAAGAGACACCCTGTGGGTTGGGGACCAAGGGTGTGGGTCACAGCAAGCTGATTGTTATGCTAAGGGGTTCCAGTGTGAAAAAGTTTGAAAACCACTGCTCTGTTGAACCCAAGAACATGTTTGACAAAAGAATAATTTCCAGAAAGGTGTTCAGCTCAATTAAAAGAGTTCAAGAGATGGCAAATCCAGCTCTTACCTTTGTAATTCTTTCAGTGGTTACGTGGTTTGCTCATATTTCATATTGATATGTTGATAATCAAGCAAAAGCATCCATCCTATCTGGTGCAACTCACTTTTCTCTGACATTCTAGGTTTCCATTGTGTTTTGCTGACTCAGTCTGAACAACATTTATACCATTTTTGCTGACCAGCTACATTTCTGTCCCTTCTAGCACATACTAAGGAAACTCTGGAAGAGAAGACATGGAAGGGCAAGCTGCTTATGGTAAAAGTCAGCCCTCTTTCTAACATCCATCTTCTTTTTCCCATCAGCAGCATCTCTGTTGTGTTCCATTCACACTAAGCAAAGAATCATTGATGTTTCTCCTATTATATGATATAATCTGTTGCTTTGCATATCCTTCCCAAATATATCTACACAGCAACAGAACAATACCAGTGTTTCCAATCATGGCATGCATTACAACAATGGGGGCCAATTTTTTTGGCAGGCATGCCACAAATTAGCCCTGCACCCTCCCCAAGTGCCTCTCTGATCCCCTTCCACTGTACAATCTGCTACTCTGCTTTCTCCTTCCTGTCCTATGCTCCCTACCCAGTCTGCTGCTCTGCTTTCTGCTTCTTATCCTGTCTGCCACTGCACTGTTTGTCCCCTTTCTGATCTGCTGTGTGCCACTTATGGCATGCATGCTGCAACTTGGCCACCCCTGCCTTACAACTATGACTCTAGCAGGACATTCTAGGGTCCTTGAAGATCCACCTTCTTCCTTCCACTCTGGAGTGGAAGTAACATGCATTAGGTCTATACTCGGTGCAACGCGTGTCTGTCAGTATACTAACATGGCTATGTTGGCTGGTGCATTATGGGCATAAGGTCAGGTCTCCATTCTGTCTTATGCTTACATGCACTTATCTCTGAAGTGTCTGCCATAGCTGTGGTCAGAGAATGGATACCAGAGGAAGTGAGTCATCTTGTAGTTTCTATCTCTAAGTCCTAGACTATTTTGAAAATAGAGGGCAGCAATAAGTTTGAGAAGTATAAATATTTGTAACAGATTCTTTCTCCTACCCTCCAACAGCTTTTAGAAATGTCAGTGGAATCCATTATGGATGATGCATGGTCCCGTGAGCTTGTAGATGAGATCCTTGTAAAAAGCAAAAGCTACTCTCAGGGGCCCCAAGATAAGGTCAGTCCTCTATTTATTGAGTGTATAAGAGTGAAACTGTAAGTGCAGTCTTCCAGAGTTGTTAATGTTTCTGGGGAAATGAAAGAATGCTAGATAGTCTAAATTATAAGGTTGGTGTTTAAGAAATACAAGTTAGAGTTCTTTTGCTTTATTTTGTATTAGAATTTGTAAATTTCTATTTGACTTCTGTTGACTTTAGTCATATGTTTAAATCAAGCAGATACTTAAGCACTTAGCCTCTTCTCATTCTATGCTTTTTTTAAATATACTTCTGCCATAACCGTTGCATAATGACCCACTAAAAATCTCTATAGAATATTGTATGCTGCATAAAATGCTAATAATTCACCATTTATGGTCTATGCTGGATGGGAAAATCTGCTTTTCAAGAGCAATATTCCCCTCCCACTGTCTTCTTGCCTACATTTCTCCAACTCTGGATCCAGATCCTCTGATAGTATTAGACAGCATATTCTCAGAATAGTCATTGGAAGTGCTGAACGCTTGATAGCTCATAAAAACCAGGGCCCTGATTTTCCTGGTTATGTATGGAATTATGGGCCTGCTTTGAAACATGCACTAAAATCTCAGCTTCAATAAATAGATGATGATAGTGATGTGGAAAAGCTACGTTCCAAATACTATCTGTGATGATGGCCAGGTGCAATCTTCAAAGCAGTAATATTTCACTGTTATATACATGAAGAGAATCAAAATTTTCATTTTGCAGAGTTGTAATGTACCATAATACTGTCCATCAGATAGTAAAGAAATCAGTCAGATAGTATCTAGCCCTTATTACCTCTGCCATAAACTACCATTCCTTACTGTCAACCAAATGGTGACCAATTTTTTTGAAAACACATAAGGTATTATCTTGAATCTGAATTATTTTTCCCAAATATCAACCTGTCAGTATGAGCGAGGAACAAGGCCATCAGCATCAATAGAAAATGGTTTGGAGGAACTAATTTTTGTTCCATCAAGACAGGACAGTGCAAACTATGATCTCCAAAACTACTAACAGGAATGACATTTGTTCTAGTGTATTTAATGAGAATGTCATTTTTTGTAGTATTTCCCATATAAATTTTATGGGACAGTATTACGGGTATCCAGAAGCAAAGAGTTTGTGAGGGAATATCTCATCATCATTCTGCAAACTTCTCATCAAGAAGAAGCTGAGAGAGAGGTGAGGATAGCTGAGGGATTAGGCAATGAATCTTTGTGGGGAAGGAAGGGAACAAGAAGAATTTCCAAACACTGCACTGAAGAGGAGGACTGCAAATTATTGTGGAGCCCTCAAATATCTCTGCAAGCATCGGAGTGGGAGAAATTGACTAATCTTAGGGTCAAGGAGGGAGAAGAGAAAGGTATAAAGTAGCTATCAAAGATCTCCCATGAGACTGGAGGGAGAAGGAGGGTAATGATGGAAGACCATGCCTCCTTGCCTGAAAGGGGAATGAAAAGGAAGGTCCGTGAAGGTCTTCACAGTTTGAGAAGGGAAGTGAGGGAGCCAGGGTAAGGACTGCAGGTGAGGATCATGGAAAAAGAAATAGTTCTATGCTGAGGCATGACTCTGTGTTTTAGGGGATTGCTTCTGCCATCAGTCTCACAGCTACTCGCCACCTCAATGACACCTTAGTGGTGCTGCAGGAATTCAGTAACCAGCTGATCCCAGAGGAAGGTTCACCCAATGAGGTACAGCTCGACTGCTGTGTTTTGTGAAACTGCTTCTCAGGCTTAGCTTGCAAGGCATGCTTTTCTATGTTTGCCTCTTTTCAGTGACATTTCTGGGGTCAAGTATGCAGGCTTCATGGTACAAGGGAAAGTGAAGTCTTTTATCACTATGAGTTGCACTTGCAAAACGGACATTGCACTGCCTGATGTGTGATCTGGGTTGGGAGTGAGGTATTCTAGTCGCAGTAAAACTTGGGAAACATGTGAGTCCATGAGACCCAGAACTGCATCAGCTCTGCTTTCTGAACACACTCTCTTCATGAGCTGTTTGGAGCAGGAAAGAAAAAAAGATGCAAGGCACAGGGTGTTAGAGTTAAGGCTATTGGGGGAACCTGAATTTCCTGACTCTGCAAGATTAAAATCTCAACCTCTGGGTCTCATTGATACAAATTGTGGACCCTATCCTCAAGTCTTTCTCCTGAAACTATTCATATGAGCAATCTCCCTGGAATTATGGGGCAGGAACAAGGAATTATGGAGCTGGATCTTATCAAATGCCATAAGTGAGAAATGTTGCCATATTGCCTTGGAAGAAGCCACTTGAGTGTGTCGGTATCACAGCCTCTACCAGGAGAGGATGCTGCTTAGCTCTGAACCTGTCCTGATATTTAAACTCCTCTCTTCTCAGAGATGGTGGGGGAGGCATTCATAAGTGGATGTTTCCTTTCCAAGTATTTATCTCTGGTGAATTCCTCCCTCATGAGTCTTTAAACCAAAATTACATGTCTTTCCAAAAGTCTGGCTTAGATTCCCTCTACTGTTGCTCGCAAGTTACAGGGCTCAGTAATATTCTCTGTTAGGAAGGAAGAATGATTCTTCCTCCACTGCCATAGTCACGGGGTGAAATCCTATAGCCTGTGCCATGGGTGCTCAACCTCTGCCCTGTGGGCCAAATACGGCCTGCAGAGCCATTGCATCTGGCTCACGGGGCTCCCCGCGAGCCACCCTCCACCCTCTAAGTTCCCAAACCCTCTCCCCCAGCATAGCCATATTCAGGCCAGGCCTTGCCCCTCCCCTCGGTAGCACTGGATTGGGGCTGGGTCATGGCCCTGTCATCCCCATGGCCCAGGCTGCTCCCCTACCATCCCTGCCACCTCTTTGTGGCCAGATGGGGCCCTGCTATGTCTGCCCCCAGCACCAGATCAGGGCCACTAGTCATATCCGGTCCATGGGCTGACCAGGCACTGCCCATCTAGCCCGCCAAGGAAAAAGGTTGAGTATCACTGGCCTAGGCTACTTGAGACGTCAGATCAGGTTATCATAATAATCCTTTGTGGCCTCCAACTCACGTGCTTCTCTACAGGTTCTCTCTCAGTCTATAGAAAGTTGTCTAAAACTTAAGGATTGCAGCAGTTCTGTGGCGAGGGAGGTGTGAGATCATTCATGAGAGGAAGTGATCTCAAAGATGAGTCTGTGTCTGTCTCCCTTTCTGTTACAGCAGAATGAATGGAGGAGGTCATTCAGCACACTCCATCTTTGCTATGACCAAGTGGCCATGAAAACAAAGGACAGTATCCTGCCCGTGGTGGACAACATTCTCTTCCAAATGTTACACCACTTCCGCCGCTGCACTGCCTCAGCCATGGTACTGTGTACAGGACTAATTGCTATGGGTTCCTTACTCATTCCTAAACTTCTGAGGTCCTAAGGTTGTAGCAATCTGAGGTACTAAGGTTGTAACAATCTTGTCTGTACTAGAAATTTGACTCATGGGGCTTTAAACATCATTGTATTATGGCTTGAGTTGCCAGAATACTTGAATATTCTGAAAAGCAGACCTCCTGGGTCTGGCACCCCACAACTCACCTTCAAAATGTGGCTACAAAGCTTTCCATGCTGAATTCTGAAGGAAGACTTACTCTCATGTAATTCCCAGGGCAAGGATTTCTGCTTTGGTGGTAAGAAAAGCAGTTCTAAGAAAAGATAAAATTCCCTGCTCACTTCTTCAATGCCCGTGACCATCCTTGCATGTCCATGGGTAGCTCTGAGATTAAAATGAGACTGACAGTAACATTATCAGTTCAGTGGGTTTATGAAGTGATGTCCAAATATAGTGATCTTGCTTGTTCTCCTTTTTATGAGAGTTGGCATCAGGGAAAAGAGGGTATTTTGTGATTTTAGCTTTATGACAGTCTCATGGCAGAAGTTGGTTTATGAGTTTTTTTGGCTTAGAAGCTGCAGAAAAGTTTGTTAAATATCCCTTTTCATCTGATCAAAGGAATTAAGGGACTACATATTTTTACAACTATGAGATCAGACCAGTTGCACCCTGTTTATTTCTTATTTATTTTAAATTCTAAAACTTACCCATGATGTAGTTGGGGGTTTTCAGACTCTTATCCCAATGTCCAAAGTAACTCTTTTCACCACAAAATGATTAATTACAGCCTTAATGGAAAGTTCTATTTCCCATGAGAACTAAACTAAATGATAGTATGGACAGACTAAATACGTTTGAGCCTTTTTTCTACATTCCTGGTTTTCCTGCATCTAGAAAGGATCCTGGCTTGTGACTGTCTTTTAATGTTAAATATCAGTAGGTTGTAAGGTTTCAGCACATAATAATTACTCCTTATCTACTGGCAAGAAAGGAGACCAGGCATTGGCTATTAGGTGAGGTGTTTTTAAAATACAGGTGGTGGGAGCTGGATACAGGATACTGTATTTTGACATGACCCAGGAGGCCTTGCATAAACTAGGGTGTAAACGTGCAGTGCTAGATCACAATAACTTACTTGATCTAATCAGCACATTCTAAAACTGAAACCAAGACAAAGGCACAGTACTTTTGAATATGGAAAACTGTAGCCAGTTGGAAGCTACTCAGATCTAATGTCTCACCTTTATATCCTAGTCTAGATAAGGTCTCAGCTGCTTTACTTCTCCTGGTATTGAGCTATCATTAATGCATTAAACTGTTATTTTCTTTGTTCCTGGGAGGGGTTTAGGATCTAAGTCTAAAGCTGAGCTTTCTGAGATCAATGGCTACATTCACAAGAACAGTGGGTGACATTGCCCACACAGTAAAAGAAACCCATGAGTTCTCACAGAAAGCAGTGATTGCAGCATTTATGATGGTGAGTAAAATTTGCAAAAGGACCAACTTCTGCTCTCATTTCTATTGGTACAAATCTTGGAGTAACCAAGCCAGGTTTGCTAACTGTCTGTAAACTTATGACTATTTCATAAATAACGAGGTTGAAAATGCCTGTCTGTAAATTCCATAAAGACACTGCACCATCCATAAATCAGGAAGCACAAACACCCCTGCAAAATCAACTCCCTAATAGCATGGAACGTCTGAAACTCCATGGTTGGAAAACAAGCTAGCTGCATTTTTTAAGCATAGCAGTACCACCTGACATCTGAGTAGGAGTGCAGTACCCTAAGGTAGCTCTTCTCAGGTCTTTATGGTGTTGGTGTTGCTCCTGGTGCTGCCTCTGATCTGCCTATAACATGACTGGGTAGCAGGTAGGCAGACAGTAGGTTTTCTTGGGGCAGTCTGTGCTGGGATGAGGGGAATGGGGCTGGTGAGAGTAAGGCTGGGGGTGGCTGGGCAGATAGTGTGGTGTGGGATGCAGTTGGAGGTACAAGGGTTTGGGGGGAAGCAAGGGACCCTAGAGATGGGGGGCAGCATGGTATGGGGTGAAGTCAGTAGTACCAGGGTATGGGCATGAGTAGAGGCCCTCTGGGGTGGGTGCAGCACTGTGTGGGGTGCTGTCAGGCATACGAGGATATGGGGGTGAGTAGGTGACCTCTGGGGTACACAGCATGGTATGGGGTGCAGCTGGGGATACCAGAGGTGGGGGTGAGTAGGAAACCCCTGGGAGGGCAGCATGCTGTGGGATTCAGTCAGGGATACAAGGGTATGGGGGCGAGTGGGGAACCCCTGAAGTGGGGGCAGCACAGTGTAAAATCATGGCTGTAGTCAAGTAGGGTTACCACCCCAAGAACCACTTGACATTTTGTTTTTACCAATAATCTCCAATTTTTTTTATGGTTTGAACCCAGCCTTTGTCCAGGGTCTAACAGAAGGGTTACATTTACATTATATAAAACGTGTCAGCAAAAAAGGTTAGTCATCAGTAAAAACTTTGCAGATTGTCAGTAAAAAAAAATGCCTTGGGTTGGCAACCCTGAACCTTGCTGGTTGAGGAAAAGGCTGGTTTGGAGGTTACGAAATTCAGGAACAAGAAAAGAATGCAACAGGCAGTTCGAAAAAAGAGCAGCCAGGGGTATCTATAGGAGCCCCAAGCCAGGGGCAGCATTATATTTAAGGGAATAAAGGGGCCTGTGAAAGGACTTACATTATTAATCCAAAGCATTGTGACTTGTAGATTTCTTATCTGATGTTACATGTGTCCTTGGGCTCGTGACATAAATTGCAATATGATGGAACAAACCAGTTCTGTCTTTTTTTTTTTATTTAATTTTTTTAAGAAGGATAAGTATGCAAATATGCATTTAAGCAAGTATATTACTCAGCTAATTTCCTGCAATTTCACTAAGCTAATTAAAGATGGAACAATGAAATGATCAAATTAAGGGCACAATTAAAAATAATTTGATAGATTCAAATTAACAAATCTCCAAGATAATACAAAAGGTACTCATTTTGAATCATAATGTTAATAAAAGGAATATTTTTGTGTCAATCTTAGGTTGAAGGAGTTGGCTTCTTTCCATCTAAGACCCTACCCAATTAACTGGTGAAAGATGGAAATAACCCTCCATAAGACCTAAGGCCCAAATCAAAGCCCTTCTTTAGATGGGTAAATAGCATTCAAGCTGCTAAAGTTAGCCACGTAAGCAGGATTTTTGGCCACTTATGTGGATGTGAGATGCTGTTCCACACAGGAAGTCATGTCAAGTCCATGTAAGTTACATGAAGGAGGTGGGCCTTCTCACTAATACATCAGTGGTTATGGAATTTGCCTAGGGAGAGGGGAGGCCCAGGTTCTCCCACTCTCCAGCAAAGAACTGTAATAACCAGGCTGTAGGTGAGGCAGGGCCAAGAGCACCCTTTTGAAGCTGGTCTAATGGGCAGCTAAGAGAAAACATGGGGCCAGAAGGAGAAGGAGCTGGAGGGAGCTTGGCTCAATGTGATGGGTAGTGCCCTGGAAGGAAGAGTGCCTTGGTTTCTACCCTGGCTTTTGCCCTGAGTGATGTTAGTATATATTTTGCATTTAATATTTATTGGATAAAATGAATAGAATGCAGCTAAATAGCTTCAACCCCCCTGCAAGGAAAGCAGGGGCTTGCATTTAAATAATAGCAATTCTACCTAGCCCATGTTCTTATGGAACAGTGTCAAAAGCTTTATTAAAATCCAGATATACTATGTCCACTGGATTCTCCTTATTTGTTACTTTGTCAAAAAGGAAATCAGGTTGGTTTGGCATGATTTGTTCTTAATACATCCGCCTTGGCTGCTAATATTCACACTAACTTTCATATACATACAAATTGATTATTTTATAATTTGCTCTGCTAACTTCCCAGGAGTTGAAGTTAGGCTGACTGAAGGGATACAGTTAGAAGGGGTACAGTTTAAAGTTCAAAGAAAAAAAATTTTGTGAGCTTCTCTGGAAGGAACAAAATTAATTAATATATATGGTTGTAAGAATATATGAATGTTCTGCAATTTGTTCCAGTAAGTTCCTAGGAACTGAAGGCAGTCTGACCAGTCTATAATTCCCCAAGTCCTCCCGTTTCCCTTTTTTAAAAGATGGACACTATTTTAACCCTTCTTCAGTGCTTTGTGACCTTGCCTATTATCCATTAGTTTGCAAAAATTATTTTCAGTGGCTCTAAGATGTCCTCAACTAGTTCTTTCACTATCCCAGATGGAATTCCAACAGGTCCTGCAGTCGTTAGCATACTGAAAGTCAGTGATGGCAGTCTTGGTAGTTTTCATTTTGCTGTGGAGGTACTGCAGGTTGAAAAGCTGACCACCCATTTGCTACTCAACCTCAATTCCAGGAGGAAGGTGGTCACAGATGAGAAACAAAATCACAGCAAGATAGATGGAAAAAAGAGTTGGGGTGATGACACAACCCTGCTTGACACCAATGCGAATGGTAACTAGATCCTTCTCTCATCCATTGCAAAGGACTGTGCTGGTCATCCCATTATGGAGTAACCTGAGGACACTGATGAACTTCAGTGGACAACTAAACCTAGCCAGCACCTTCCTTAAGGCTTCACAATTGATGGAGAGGTCAATGAATGTCATAAACAGCACCTGGTGGTGCTCTCTATACTTCTGGATCTGTTGTGAAACAAAAATCATGTCAGTGGTACCCCAATATCATCTAAAGCCACACTGGGATTCTGGAAGGACATCTTCAACAATGGAGAAGAGGCGATTCAGAAGGATGTAAGAATCTTCCCAACAGTGGAAAGGCAGGCAATGTCGCAGTAGTTCCCACACACTGACTTATCCCCTTTCTTGAAGATGGTCACAATGTTGGCATTCTTTAAGTAAGGTGGAACTTCCTTACTAACCCATATTTTGATGAGTTGGTGAAATTTGTGCATTAGTGCTGTTTCAACAACTTTGAAGACCTCTGTGGGGATGCTGTCTGGGTCTAGCACCTTATTGTTCTTTGTCTGAGTGATAGCACACCAGACTTCCTTGAAGGTAGGGGATCAGCAAGTGGTTCATAGTATCATAGTACTTAGGGTTGGAAGGGACCTAAACAGATCATCAGGACCGACCCCCTGCCCCGGACTCAATGGGTGCCAGGATCATCTCACCCCAGCCAAATATCTGTCTAGCCTCCTCTTGAAGACCCTCAAGCTAAGAGAGAGTATCACCTCACTTGGGAGCCCATTCCAGAGCCTGGAAGCCCTAACTGTAAAGTAATGTCTCCTGATGTCCAGCCTGAACCTTCTCTCTAACAATTTGTAGCTGTTATTCCTAGTAACCCTGGGTGGTGCCCGGGGGAACAGAGCCT